AGGCAAGATACCTTCTGCCTTCAGTATCAATCCAACATGTTCACCACAGACACATGTTTCACTGATTCTACTTAATCAGCATTTTGTTGGTAATTGTTAGCTCTTGACTTGTATTGTGCTTAAGTACAGCAACTGGCCCTTTGAAGGTAAATAATTTAGAAAAGATTGCAACACCAGTAAAGAAAAGCTTTGTGTTTTCGCTTGCAATGTGGCTAGACTGCAAATTCTTTACATTTTTAAAAGACCAACTGCAATATTTTCTGCACTAAGCATATTAAACATTCGTTCGTTCGTTCGTTCAAACTCTCAGTGAAAAAGCATGGCGAAAGGTCTGTTTCCTTTTCTTTGGTTTGTAGTTCCAACACCAAAATGACACAAAGCAAAGTGTAACCACCCTATAGAGACCATTGTCATGGTCTAATATTCAGGAGATGCTGACTCCTAGATTATTTTTGAGGGGAAATATTGGACTTGCTTAATAAAGTATTTGCTGACCACATGCCTTGGGATCCATTGTTAGCTAATCTTAGAACTCTCTAGTAAAAGACAAGCAAAATATGTATTTATTCCGCTTGCAGCTGCCAAGAAACTTATAGCTGCGAGCCATCTTAAGAGGGAATCTCCAACCTACGACACATGGCAATCTGTACATAGTAATTAGTTCAATATGGTTGAAAGTAGCAGTGAAGGGTTGATACTAGTTAGGTTCCCGTTAACAGCTATGGGCATCTGTCTTTTACTGTGTGAACATTTGGTCTATAAACCTGATTTGCCTTTGACAAGTGAAGCTTCTGAAATGAAGTAATTAAGTGTGTGTGATGTAGATACATGAGCTCTCTGCTGACTTTTTTAAGAAAAACAATGCTTTTTCTCATTTTTGACATTTTGACACCAAAAAAACAAACAGTTTGAGGAATATCAGGGAGTTTAGTAATTATTTAGTTAAAATAATGATTTTGACAGGGTGTAATATAATTCTGAGGTACAGTATGCATTAATGTGTTAAATACAGAAGATCTCTCCTTAACCAAGTGTTTTAACAGCATTGGAAGCGAACCAAAGTTTCCAGTGTCGATGTCCTTCTTTCCTCCAAAATATATTTCTTAATGTAAATTAGTTGTATGAAAACGTATTTTGTAGGAGACAGGACTGCACTGTCAGGTCTCCACATTTGAATGTGTAAATGCTCAGATTCAGGCTTTATGTTCCCCTGCTGATCTGGATTTAATAAAATGGAAGAACAATAATTAAATCATGAACACTGCATCACTTGCACCCACTAGTGACTAGATTCATCTCAGTGTTGATCTCCTTAGCATATTCTTTGAGATGGTTCTAAAGACATCAGTGTCACTGATGGGAGTTCAGAAAGGGCTCTGATTGATCTTGTTTATCATTAAAATTTTAAGTGTTACATAAATGGCTGCTGCCTTCTCTCCACTTCACCCTGGCATTGCCTTGTTCAAATTGAAAATCAGCAGATTTCTTATTCCTTCCTCATTTTCTTCCTGTAAACAGACAGATGGAGAGAAAAGAAGGAAAAGAGGGATTGAAGTGGAGGGCTATGTTATCCCGCGCCTGATGGTTTATTGATCCTTGTGGTGCCTCTCCCTCATTCTCTCTTCACAGCAGGCCGGAGTAAATTGGACTGTTTTCTTCTGCAATGATTGACGTGTGTCTTCTGTGAGCAATGTTTTTAAACTTGCAGTTATATTTTCACCAAATTGAAAAGATTTTTGTCGACTTTGGCATTCCCTCTTAAAATGACACAATTCTTTGAGCGCGTGCTACGTCTGAGCTGACAGGTGACGAGTGCTAAGCTAAACAACCTACAGTGCATTGTGACAACTCTGTCAACAAAAAACAAAGGGAGAGGACGACAAATGGCGTTTCTGTCACTCATCGCCAGGACTAACAAAACAGCACAGCCCAGTCCAAGCATGAAATCATGTCTGGAGGAAAACCTTTTATGTTTCAAAAAAAATCTAGTAGTGTTGTAGAGCAAGTGCTAAGAAATCAGTGCTTTGTGATTCTGGCCTTTGTTTAAGTGTCTCTGCAACTGGAAGCCACAGGAATTGTGTCAGGACATACAAAATGGTATTGTTGCATTATGAATTCCCTCTTACTCTATTATGACTCTGTCTTTCTTTCTCTTCATCTTTCTAGTTAGCTGCTGAAAATACATTCTTCAAATTTAATTAAATCCTATTATATTCTTGTGAATGTGATCTGTAAAGTAAGGCTTTAAAGAGGTTGTGTTGAGGTGCCAGTTGGTTGATGCGTGGATCCATGTACATGCTGTAGTTTTGTCATGCTAAGCTGACTTTATAATTTCCATCTAGTGTGAGCATAATGTGCACTTATCATACAGTCATATTAAATCAAATGACATTGGGGAGCTGTCAAGTTCTAACCCCATAGCCAGAATTTGCCAGAAATTGAGTTAATATTAAATGATTATGCATAAACACTTTTAAAATGATTTATTTATCTTCTTATGGCAACTATAGTATGGCTAAAGTTAAAGAGAGATCATGGTTACTGGTTTAAAAAAACAACATTAATTGTTCTTCTGTGACAGGAAGCAAACTCCAATATGCTGCATGAAAGTTGGAAGCACCCACTTGCATTGCCGTAGTTTACAGTTTGTCTGTGGCTGCTTCAGAACTGTTTTGTTGAAAAAAACAAGACAGCTTTTTGTCGCATTCAAATTATACAAATTTTCGGTTTCACACAGTTCCCAAAAATCTGGCAACTATGAGGATTCTGAAACCAGAATGAAGGTGGGAATATCTGGAGTGAGCAAAGGCATCTGGACACACAGACCGCACAGCCTGCCCTGTAACTCATCAGCTCCATTGCACATGTAATACAGCAGAGGGAAAAACATGGCTAATATTCAAGAATTCAATGAAAGCAAATATGGATATAAATTTTATTTGTACTTCTCCATCAAGCAGCATCTGCAGGGTTTACATTGTCTTGTGTTTTCAGAGCAGGTTAAGGTTTCACGTCTCCTTAGTGAGAATATACCCTCACAGTCAATCAGCGTGTTGAAAGGTATTCTATGTAGCCAGAAAGACAAGCTGACAAAAGCATCATGCAGTCAGATATCGAATCAATTCAACCTCCAATGCCATATTTGTTACAAAAGTTTTTAGCTTAGAACAACAAGTTCAATATTGCCTTGAATCAAGCATTTACATTGTTCTCTCAAAAAGTAAATGTTTAGTCTAAAAGTTGACTTTAGGACAGTTGCACTAAAGGGTTCCTCCAGAACGTAGAGACACAATTGTCAAAAGAGCTAAGACATCCTAACTTTTCCTAGTATGGGGCACCCCCAGTTTGCCCAAGACGATATTCATCCTAAAAAGTACGTAAGAAATATTTACTTACTACTTTTCTCATATGGATGCTCTTTGAGAACCACAGAAGATTTTATAAAACTGTTTGCACAGGCTGGGAAGGACTCCAAGCAAGTCAACGCCGATCTCAATATGTTCGAATTTTCAGTGGTGTTTACCTTTAGCTGCAGTAACTGTGGATTTAAATTTGGATTTAAAAGGGTTCATATGCTCAAAAGTTGATGAAACATTTTTTAAACAAGCTACCACTTTAAGACCCTCTTGTCATCATGTCCAACCTATTGACATCATCAATATAATAAAAACCATCTTACAGCTGACCTAACTTCCCCTCTCACATGAAAACTAGTCCCTCAACAGCCAATTACCAATGTTTGTTTAACATCCCAAGTGCCCTATCACCATCCAGCATCTCATAATTTAACCCACCGCCCCCACACACACCTCATACTGCTGATTAAGGGATCTCAAGCAAAACTGAAATAACTCACCTCGCTTCCCCCCCATCCATTCCCTTCCAAACACTGCTTATTATTAATCTCTCATTATCTCTTGATTGAGAAATCTTCAGTTCATTTGGATGTATTTTCCACACACCATTAAAGGACAAGCTAATACAGAAATCAGTACACCAGTGGTAATAACAGCATCCTCTGAGAACTGAATTTTAGTTACTGAAGCATAAAGTTCTAGCTCATCATTGTTCATCCAGCTACTTTAGAAAACATGGCTGAGGGTTCGCTAATGAAAGGCCTTAGCAGACTCATGTTTCATTTGTAAGCACAAAGGAAACCGTCAGCAGTCTGGTCTGGTATTAATAAGAACATCAGCAGTGGTGCAGATCTGATTTCTCCCCACGTCTGAAAGCCGTGCCCCGACAAACTTCAAAACACTGCTGATGGATGACTGCCCATGAACTCTCTGAAATGTCTACATACATTGTCTTTTTTGTTTCATAAATTATCCTCAACAAGCACAAAAATGCCTACAATGCCTTTAATTGCACCTGGGTTACACTTTTTTCTAATCAGGCAATTTAGCATTTTCATATTTTCTCTTAAGCAACTGGTGCTTCTCTTATTAATTTTAATGATAAGATCATCCATTAAGGAACGCTGAACTGATTCCCTCACAAGTGTGTACTGTCCACAATCAGCCATGCATGTTGTGATAAATCTCTGGGAAAAGTGAAGCTCTCCAACAGCACTACTGTGACCACAGATTATTCATCACAGCAGGACAGATTATTACCCGTTCTCCATCCATCTTTCAGCCGGTGACATTGCAGGGTCTAAACAAACAATAGTGTGTTTGGTATTATCCACAACGTGCAGTATGTTATGAGGCGGTGGCAGCCACTTGTTATGGATGCTTGGATGAAGACTAAGTAGTCAATGCTGGAAAACTGACTCTCTTTACATGCTTTCCTGCTGCAGTTTAGGATGATATGATGATTTATTTGCAGAATTGTAGAGCAAGAAGACAACAATGAGGTTTGAAGAGTTATCGGCTGATAGAAGACGGAGATGAATTAACGCCGTCACTAAGCCTGATTGTTTGAGAATAAATGCATTCATAAAAAAATATTTATGGGTTGGTTATGGCTAACAAGAGTTTCTTTTTTTTGTCTTGCAGCATCTCCAACTGTCCCTCCACTGCACTCAGAGCACTTCAAACCCTGTCATGAGAAGGATTTGGCCTACTGCCTAAACGGTGGCGAATGCTTTGTCATAGAGACGCTTAGTGGGCCTCACAAGCACTGCAAGTAAGTGACTGACCAGCTGCTGTTGATCTTACTCGTCCTCAGCCCTGCTCCTGTTTTCTGTTTCTTCCTGCTCTTTTGAATATCATTCAGTCACCACACCCACTGTAGGTTTATAGAATGGTTCTGAAAAAGTTTGTAGCTTCCTCCTTCAAGGAGTATGGTAACAAGACATTACATTGAGAGTTCTCAAACCTAGCATAATCCACTTCTCTAGCAAACCAACAAGCTACAAACCTCTCGGAGTCATGTTCCACGCGAAACAGCCTTTTTTTAGTGTGTGATACTCAAAATATTTCCTGTGACACACTCCTCTCATTATCTATTGGCTGTTGGTAGATATCTATAGGAGATGCTCCTTAATATATCGTATAGAGTAGATGGGTCTGTATGTGTATGTATAACTTGTGAGTGTCCATGTATGCATGGATATTGCCGTCGTGTGTGTGTGTGTGTGTGTGTGTGTGTGTGTGTGTGTGTCTTAGTTGTCCCAGATTTGAGAGTAGAGCTCATGGGCACTTACCCTGTTCAAATGTGGGGCCCTTTTACTAATTAAGTCCCAGAACAACTTCTTCTAAATCTAACCGCAGGACTTCCACTCGACCTGTTTTTCAAAGAGACTGTTTTGCCTTCCCTGGGGTACAAGTATACATTTGTATGTGTCCACAAGTGTGTCTGTATGTGAGTGTGTGTGGAAGGTTGGGTGAGTTTTGGCTCAGCAATGTAAGCGAGACTCACTAAACTGAAAATCTTTGTACAAAGTTGGACACAAAAGATGCAGTGATGCATGTGCACGTAAACAAAGATTATATCTATGTATACACATGCACACAAACAAATCCATGTACATAGGGGATTTGTCTATACATTTCCATTAATAGTCAACCCATTGCGTCATATACACATGCTTGACAAGCGGCCGATGTGCTAGCAGGTAGGGTTAGCCTCCTTTGTGTTGCAATGCAATAGCAAACTGCAGCATATCATACAAACGCCAAATCGACATTTTGCGTACAATAGCCACGGTTTTGTCAAAGTGTGCGTATATGACGCCTGAGATGAGAACGGGTTGGGTTGCTATAAAATTCACTTGCATGCTGCATGGCCAGTGATAAGATTCCTCCCCTATGCATAGTCTAATTTGGATATAATTAAAATACCAAATACCAAACTTAGATATAAAATAAATATGTTGTCCTTGAAAGTCCTTAAAACAAAGGCAGACTCGGGTTGTTGGGTGGTACACAGACTCCTCATCATATAGTTGCAAGACTCTGCAGCAGAGATGTGGAAAGTATAATTTGGATTAAAGTTATACAAGATACTGCTCCGTGAGGGATGTTTTTTTTGGGGGGGGGGGCAAGTGGACTGACAGTGCAACAATTAGATTTCTGCAACAGCAGACCTGTTCTTTAACCGTGTTTCTCTAATCTCCTACTGTGATGAAAACTGGGTTTCTTGTTTACTTGAAGTACAAATACGGACAACTTGTCCCTTAAGTGAATGCATTGTTACCCACTTTAGTCTGTCTTTTGCAGATTTCACTATAGTATGCAGTGTGTAATCCAGTCAAAAGTCAACCAAATTCCACGTTTTTTTTTAGCTTTCTATTTCATTGCAGAAAAGCAATGCTATTTGAAAGGGAGAAGGGGAAGCATCATAAGAGAGGAAAGAAACAGAGAGCAAGAGAGAAAGACCGAGGTATAGTTGGACGAAGAGTTGGAGATGGGGGAGGGCTGTTGCACGCCTCCATTGCTCGCCTCTGTTGCTATGACAACATAATCTGTGGACAAGTGTAGCTGTTAAAGAGTGAAGTTTGTGATGTACACTGGGATGGCCTTGAACACACTGTCTATGCATGTTAATGTGTGTGTTTTGAGGTCCAGGAGGGAAAAATGTGCACTGACTTGATATCTACTGCCTAATCGTGTGGCAATGAGCTCTCAAAAGGAAAGATATGGACCATCAAACAATATGGCACCCGTTCTCAATTTGAATAACAGCTGGTATAATCATGCAGTAAAACTATGAAGTGTGTTTAGTACTTTGCTTAAAAAAATAACATTGATGGTTTAAAAAGGGTAATATTTTATGCTTAGGAATTCAACTAAAGTAATGATTCAGTCTTTTTGGAATTTAATGAATGGATGTTCTTTCTGAGTGAGGCTCTTAAGTGACTAAAATACTGTTAATTTATTCTCATCAACAAACGAATTACAAATGTCACCCTAGGCAAAGGATCAATGAATAATCTGATTAAATTTGTGTTTACAACAAATTGAGACAAATCAGGTTGTAAAAGTGTGATCAATCCAGACATTTACAGGGGATAAATTAAGCCGGTTTGTGGCATTATTTGTCACATAATAAATCTTTTTTATTTGCAAGATGAAACTTGATCCTTTTTGCAATGATTTTCTCCAAAGAGTCATAATTCAAGTATCAGGTGCCATTCCCGACAAGTTGTAAAATAACTGCGGATTGTCCCCAAGAGCGCTGTTTAGTGCTGTCTGCGTGCGATGTTTGTCAACCCACAGGGACAGATGCAGAGAGGGGAGGGATTCAAACGTGAGTCACTAGGTTTGCTCTTTCCCTCTCAAACTTACAGACACACCAAACACACACACACAACAGTGCTCACTGCTTTGGGCACCAAAGTCAGGCATTCAATCATTAGTGCTCAGCAAACCAGTAAATTAGTCAGTGTGCTAAGATAATATTTTCAGAACATGGCAAGAGGCCAAAGCATTCAGTTATAAAAGTATGTGATGATGCATTTGATTAACTACTTTCTCATCTCAGGATTTTCCCAAAAAGACCAAAAAAGTTAATGATAGTTTTAGTTTAATTGCTAGTTCAAATAATTTTAAATGAAATATCTTCCGTCCCTATTTGCCTATGTACTCTCGTTATAATATTATGGGTTTGTGGTGGCACTCGGAATAACAAATGCACTGTTTCCTAATTCTCACTCTGTTGAGCCAAAGGACCAGGGACACTGTTTATTTATTCTGTCTTTGCAGGTGCAGTGGATTCGAGTTCTGGCCTGTTTATTATGTATTTCCTCCTGCTGGTGTGACCAGGCAGTAAGGTTCTCCCTCAGTCTAGTTAGCAACAAGGGCTAGCTAAGCCCAACTCATTGCCCTCTGTCAAGAGGCTATTCCAGAGCGACAGAAAGGCAATCTCACCTGGCAGGTGGTGGCTGCAGGGGTTTGCAAGAGATCCCTGCAAAGCCCCCACCAATGACACCGGGAGCTGACACAGACACTCTCTAGAGGGGAGGAACAGATATATGAGACACAAACAAAAACCTGGCACAGTTTGTGTGTTGGACGCTAAGATTTTGGCCCAGAATGTGTTGTAGGTCATAGAGCTGACCTCTCACCAACTGAGAGTCTTTTTTCAGGAAGAAATTGTAAAATCCTACTGCAGGTCCAGTGCTAACACATTCTTTAAAACCTAAATTGTAAATGACAGAAACTGCTTTAAAAGTAGGGTGTGTGATCAATACACAGTCTTTTTGTCAAATTCAGTGAATATCCCTTCATGGTCTGAAAAAAAAATCTGATGTTTGTACACAGCCCTGGTTCCGTAAATGGGAAACAAAGAAAGTGGCTTCAGACCGAGCCACACAACACTATTCCAGCCATTCGAGCCATGATTTGTGTGTCAGGTAACTAAATTATTTGCCCACGGACATTCAGCTTACTATCTAGTTCACCAGCATATGCTATTGATGATGTAAACTATAGCTGTCTGGAGCTGGTGTTACGATTGACTGCATGTTATGATTAACCTATGTGTTAAAAGGTTCAACTTTTCAACCAAATTTCACTCAGCTTAAACTTAGAAATCTAGACGTCATCTGCTTACATACTCAAAACGTAAGAAATGTAAAAAAAATTAATCAAATGTCGCATAGGAAATTAGGATGCACTAATTAGGATGCATAATGTTGAGGTTTTAACTGTAGACCAAACTAATTGCGTACTCACACTATGCGATCCGTACCGTGCCTGAGCACGCTTAACCCCCAAAGTCCAGTTCGTTTGACCAGTCTGATCACTTCGTGCCGGAGGGGGGGGGACAAGGCAAGCGGGCCTAGTGTGAGTACGCACTAAGTAATAAACATGAGAAGTTTTCTCTGCATGACAAAATGTTAGCCTCCAAGATCCTCCAGTCTCTTTTCTGGGCACTTGCACGCATCCACTCACACAGTAACTCACACATGTGAGTGTCTGTCACCTCAAGAGACCACAGACATTCAGGTGAGCCTTGCAAGAGTCAGGGAATATGTGGAGGGGTCATTGCATTCTGCGTGATGTTGTTTCTGGCATCAGTGATTTACCTTGTCAGGAGAAAGCCTCTTGTATAATGGTGTGTCAAATGCTCACAACATAGAATGCTAAAGTGCACATTTGTGTCTGTGTGATTGCTTCTTTTTAGAGAGTAATCCCCCTTCCCTGACTCACAATCCTCCTCATCCGCTCTCTCTGGACTCTAGCTTTTCCTTTCCTGGGTGACCTTGTGCTATTCCAAAGTGTTGACTTGGGCCTCATACATGCAAAGAGTGGCTGCTAAGTATACAAAATGTTACCGTCCCTTCTCGTGCACACATGCACACACTGGCAAGCCAATTAACAAGGAGCATGCATGAAATTAAAAACATAGCAGCAATGACACACATCTCAGCTGCCAGTAAACAAGGAGATTAAAGCACAGATGAAAAAGGAAAACAGGCACCTGAAGGATTTGGGAGTACCAGTGCCATACTAAATATTATTAATATACTGTACTATGAAATATTGCATGCAGTACATATATAATAATTATAATATTTTTTACAAAATGGAACATTTAACAAGATGTGTATTAAAAAGCACTAAACTATGATGGTGTAGAAATGTTGCCCTTCAATTGATCAATTGATTTTTTTTATCCAAATATTAAATATTTTTTTGTTCTGTCTCCCCAGACTGGTTTCACCCCTGTTGTTCAATCAG